ATGGAAATACCTGAACCTAATATCACCTGAAACCTTCCACGCGAAACCTAAGAAAGTCTGATGATCTGGACAAATATCAATATGATGGTAGCCACTCTTTAAATCAAACGAAATCGTGAACACTCCCTTCTGGAAATAAGACAAAGCTATCTTCCAGTCTTCGTACTTGACTCTTTGTTTGGTAAGAAGCTTATTAACGTACCTTAAGTCTAAGATTACTCTCTTCTTCCCGTTGGATTGCACAGATACAGATAGAGGTTTAACCACATGAGGGGAGCTTGGACTTCTACCCCACGATACGAACGCTAGAGCTCTAAGATTGCTTCCTCTACAGTTTTTTTTTCATGACCGCGTAAGAGGCGGCACATCGACCGAAAAATGACTATCCTTATATTTTAGTCAGAGACACCTTATGGTGAACATAGCAACGTTGTATGGTTTTTTTTTTTTATTCCAGACATGCCTCTTCATCCTAAAAAAATTCACGAAAACAAAACGAGCGTCGGTAGCCGGGAAATGGCGGTTATCAGTGCCCTGAGTAGAGACAAATGAACTTGCTCATGAAAAGCGCAAAAGAGAGCAGGCCCATATTAATTTTATAGATTTGTATACGAAGGATCGAGGAATGGTTTAAGTAAACGGGACCAGTTCATTTAATTTGGAGGGAATCGAACGCTTTTGAAAATCATCAATATTTTAAAATCCAAATACCGCATTTCGTAGCAAATTTTCAATTATCATTTTCCCCATGCGGTATAACTCAGAATCGGTTCAGGTTAAGCTCATGATAAGTGCAAATAGTGTCGTTTTCGAGGATATAAAAATTTGATTGGGCTTTTCATTTCCGCACGGAAAAACCAGGCTGATTTTTGTGAAAATCGCAACATCGGCATTTACGTTACGACATAATCTAATTAGGCACCCTGTGGTTAACTCCGAAATTCCAAGAACATTTTAGTAGTTAACACCGTGTTCGATCAGGAAATCAATACAATAAGCTAGCCTTCCATAGTTAACGACGACTGATTGGTTTTTATCCCAGCTTCCGTTTCAAATTCTCATCTATTTCCCATGGCAAAATTGTTTACAATATCACATTCCGTAAGTCAGCAGTGGGCGTCTATTTTTGTTAGCATATTCGAACACATTTATAGGTGGCCCATAGTGGGGACATGACACATTTTTTTATCGCGCGATAAAATCAAAATATTGCGCGATAAAATGGCGCGATCAATGGCGATTATCGCGGGATAAATGAAAAATTATCGCGCGATAAATGATAAATTATCTCGCGATAAATGGAAATTATCGCGTGATAAATTCAGTTTTATCGCGCGATATTTCGCACTCAGCGTGTGCGTGATATTAGTCACGCAGTCAACACAGTAAGATGGCGTTGTTAAGGCATTCATTGAGAGGACTTTTACTTTTTGGAATAATCCATTTATCCAGAAATTCATAAAAGGAAGTTGTGATTTGCCAATCATCTACATCAATAATACGACTAATGAAGTCCGCCCTATCAAGCTTAGTTCGGGGAATCCATTGTACTTCCAATTCGATTTCAATGATTATCAACGCAAAACTGAAAAATCTTAAGGGCTATAACTTGTAGAT